CAAGAAAGGTGACATAAGTTCATGGATATCATTTAATGAGTTTTACCTTTAAAGGAAGCAGAGTATCAAGACACATCTTTGATCTTACGGGGATGCCACAGAATAACGAAAACTGTTCTGTAAAAATTCCCATCAGCCCGATGTGGGCTGGAAGTCTGTCCCTCAGCCACTTTCTCCGGTGACTTGCAGGGTCACACACTACAAAGGCTGCACCTGCTACCCAGCAGGGCTCTACTGGCCACCTCAGGCTGATAAATTCTCTAGGTCTCCACATGGAAGTGAATTGGATTTGTTTGTGACTGAACTTGACTGGATTTAGGCTATTTGATTCCGAGGAGGATTATTTTACTCTTTGCATAGTTCTTAAATTGTGCTTCTAAAATGTTGTCCCATTCTAGCACCCTAGGACATATGCATATAACTTCAGGGTGTCTTTAACCTGGTGACTTGACTCAATTAATATTATGCAACCAATAGACATTTGTTAAACATCAACCATATCAGGGGGTTGTGGAGAGTAAGACATAGTTCCTGTGACTTCAGGAAGGCCATCTAGTCTAGTAGACAGGTCAAGAGAAGGTATCCTGGAGAATGTCAGCTAAATGCTGGGCTGGAAATGACAGGAGTCCTAGAATGTGAGATTGTGGAATTCAGGGGAGTCATGCACTCATCACTTTGAGTTTTATGTATATGGCCTCTAGAAAACTGTTTCATAAAGAAATAAGAGGCGTGAACATAGGTAATTTACATTAATCTTTTATCATCTTTAAACATCCAAGTAACATAAATGATGAAGGAAAACAGAAACGGCACAACGAACGCTGTCCCGTTGCTTGCCATTGGCTCATCATGAACGTGGGGAAGTAGCACCATCTAGAGGCCAGTGAGATGCTGTACCTCTGTGGCCCAGGCCTCGGGAGCTTGATGAGCACTCGAGCGAGGCACCTGTATTTCAGCACCCAGAATGTTCTTACATCGGGCTGAGGTGGAGGTGGGGTGGGAGAAAGGTGCAGGGCAGGAGTATGGACAGAAGCAGCCTTGTTTTAGAGCTCTCTTTCTAAAATGTCCAGAGCCCAACTGATTTGCCTTCTCATTGGGCTTAGCTTCCCATTTCCAATTACTTTGGTGCTCTTTTGTTCTTTTCCATCTGTAAAATGAAGTTATCTGTAAATCTAAAGTGGTCATAAAATCTAAAGGGAAAATAATGTGTTTAAGAAAGGACCTTAGATTTTGGGTTATCTGCTCATTTGTTGGCCAAGGCAACCTAAGGAAGTTTTAAAAACCAGCAATTTCACAGTTTAGAAATAAGCAATTGAAACATTTTGAGTCAGTTGGAGAATTGGGTGGGTGGAAGTCATAACCCAATTTGCCTAAGAACCATGTTATTTAATTAGTAAAGTGACTGTGAGGGCCACGGCATGAGCTCAAGATAAACCAGTAGGAGGCAGGAGTCGGGAGGAAAGAGAAAGAAGGCAGGCAGCAAATGCAGGGGCAGAAGACAGAAAAGATAGAGATGAAAAAACTAGGGAAAGGCAAGACTACAAGGCAAACGAAAACAAGAAATGGAAAGGACAGAGGCGGGCGACAGTGAGTCAGAACTCAACCTGAATCCACACAAATCCAACCAAAGGCCGGCTGGCACTTGACGGTGCCCCGTACAGGAGCAGTCGAGTATTTATCATCGGGCTGCTGCCTGGTGAATGCTACCTTGGCTCTTTATCCAAGCAGGTTTATGATTTTGATCCCAGTTTCCTCAATCCCAGAGTTATCGCAGGAGTCTCCCATTTCCCAGGATTTTCCACAGCAAAAACTGGCTTTGAAACTAGAATGTGAGGGCACTCCAAAAGTGTGGACAGAGAAAAAGCTTCCAATCTGGGGTGCCTCCAAATGGGAGCCCTATGCACTTACAATGAAGGTGGCCAAAGTGATTCTTAGGAATTTCATTAAGCAAAAAATTTATGGCCAATAATCTGTGGAGCTTGGTTAATCCAATGAGATTGCAGCCCTGGTTCTTGCAAAATGGAATTACTACAAAACAAATGAAAGTAGAAGTTTATTAGTTAAAATACATCATGTATGAAAACATGGAGAACAGGTAATCTATTAAAAATATTAAACTGTGTGCTAAGAGAAGCCCCATCTTAGCCCCTTTTTTCTAGCAGCGCTACATATGTTATGGGTATTGACCTCTAACCTCACAATTTAAAAATCATCAAAAGGCAAGTAAAACTCCCAGTGGAAAAATAGCTATGTTCTGTGTGCTGCTGAGGATGCCTTCAGTTGTACCACCTCTACAAGTCTTCTGACTGCTCCGTCTGTCAACTTTTGCCTCTGGGGGGCTCCTGAGTGGATTTTACCACTCAAAAGTAACCCCCAAGCATCAAGCTTTGAGATTTCTAGAGAAAGTTCCAATACTCATCTGTCCTGGAAATTCTGTATTCCTCAGGCATCAGATTTGGTAAGAAGTGTGGTATTACCTTGAAGTCAGTCAGATGCGAGTTGGAATTCTGGCCTGGCACCTACAAACTGTGTGGTCTTTCATATACTCTAAGCTTCAGTTCTGAAGATAAAATATATGAGGGGACTGACATATTAAGAACTCAGGAAAAGGTTGGCTTTTGGGTTTCAGTCCTTCTGTTCACTAAGAATCTCACTTTGGAAATAAAAAGCCTTATCACTACCACATGCTTGGGGTACTATTTGTGTTCTGTTATAGTTCATGTATTTCTTAAACTTGTGTAACTCTGAGCCACATGGACCTAGGCAGGAATACTGATGTTTCAACGCTAACAAGCAACTTTTAATGAATTCATTCTCTAAACACAACTGATATTTAGGCAATTGCCAAAAATATTTAAAGCACAAATCTTTTATTTTTATTTTTAATTTTATTTCGGTATTGTTAATGTACAATTACTTGAACATTATGGTTGCTAGACTCCTATTATCAAGTCCCCCCCACATACCCCATTAGTCACTGTCCATCAGCATTGTAAGATGCTATAGGATCATTGCCTTGTCTTCTCTGTATATACTGCCTTTCCCATGTCCCCTCCCGCTACATTATATGTACTAACCATAATGCCCCTTTTCCCCCCCTTATCCCTCCCTTCCCACCCATCCTCCCCAGTCCCTTTTCCCTTGGTAACTGTTAGTCCATTCTTGGGTTCTGTGAGTCTGCTGCTGTTCTGTTCCTTCAGTTTTTGCTTTGTTCTTATGCTGCACAGATGAGTGAATCATTTGGCACTTGTCTTTCTCCGCCTGGCTTATTTCACTGAGCATAATACCCTCTAGCTCCATCCATGTTGTTGCAAATGGTAGGATTTGTTTTCTTCTTATGGCTGAATAATATTTCATTGAAAGCACAAAATGTTTAACACCTGCTTTTTAAGTGAAGCTTTATGACTAACTTACGATGCTTTCCCTCTTAAAAATTTTAATTTTCCCACTTTTTTACTATTACAAAAAGGATAAGACTAAGTGACCATCAATGTCTATTTCAGCTAAAAAAAGAATGATTTTCTGTAATCTCATGACTTTCTTGAATCTCCCATGGACATACATGTTATCAAAGCCTAATCCTCTTAATAACTGTCTAGAACTTTGCTAAAAACATTAAAACTGTTAAGAACAGCAACAACTTAAAGCTACTTCAACTTTCTTTTCTTTCAGCTCTGTCCATGTCAGTTGGACTAGTCCATTCTGCCCCTCGCAAGGTCTAGTTCAGATTGATCAGTTTCTTTTGACTCCACCCACTAGGATTTTGCTGTTATCCCAACACTAACTGCATTTACAGTCACATACAATACTATAGGAATTAATTTTAAAGTACTTAAATCTTTTCAATTAGGCTGAAAGCAACTTGTGAACAAGGTCCAGACACTTCTTTTCTACTATCTCCATCATTCTGAGGAAACACAGTAAATGTTTAAAAAGTAAATATTTGGTTAACTTACACCATCCACAGATTGATTTCACCCGTGTGTTGATGCATTTCCTTAAGATATCGTCATACTAAGTACGACTGTTACTTAAATGGTGCTGTTACCTAATGACCAAAAAAAGGGCATGTGTACCACTTTAAAGTGGCAAAAACATTACAAAAATGGCTAACACGAAACGAACAGTAAAACCACTAAGATTCAAGTAGAAGAGAAAGGGTGGTAAAGAACCACTTTTGTATCAAAAGTGCCCCTTAGTATCAATATCCTTTTTCCCCAACTCATCCTATCACCCCCCCCTTTCCACAGACAATATTATTTCATGGTCAGTTCCACAGACACCCTGGGGTGCCATTTAGCCAAAATGCAATCATCAGTTGAACCAGTTGTTTCCAGCTGGCATCTATTCTCTGTCCCTATGCTGCACTAATTCTTAAAATATTTTATTCTCCCCTCAGTAAAGCTGATAGACTTGACAGATTTTGAACACACCTATTCTTGACTATAAAATATGAAGTCCAGATTTTTCCCAGCGTGACAGTTGTGAAAGTGTTATGAGAAAGTACTGGAGAATCACTTTTGTTTTCATCTTAAAGTTTCTAAGTGCTTATTCTCTAACTACATGACTGACTACTTCTATTACCTATTGCTTAGATTCTCTAACTCACAGCCCTCTGAACTGCCTCTAAGTTTCTAAAGCCAGGAATCTGGTCAGGTGCAGTGGGAAAGCAAACAGAGGCTACTGTGAGTAGGTAAGGGAAAGAGATTTGAGTGTAAGAAAGTGTTTAGAAGCTGGAATAAATGACCATAGCTGCCAGGCTAATTTGCACATTCTAGTCTAGGTTTCTGGGCAGTGATTCTAGAAGAGTTCAGTTGGGATCCTGAGGGCTACGGATGACTCCAAAGGCTTCATGCTCTAACATCATTAATGACTCTATTCTTCACTACTTTTTATTTAAATAGTTTTATAAACCCTTTGCACCAAATTAGTAAAACAGGAACTCTTTCCTCTTAATTAACTACACATTCGTAAATATTAAAAGAAGGGTTACACAAATGAATTATTCAACACTGACATTTTATTTTCTGAACATTGTTTTTACAAAACAAAAAGCAGGTATCAAAAACAGCAGAGTTTATAGAATTTTTGCACCAGTGTTCACATAAGTCAGTGATATGAAACTGGTGTCCAATGCAAATACTAAGCAGGCTGGTTTCCCTCTTGGTCATATGCATTCAGGTGGTTTGTTTTGGAGCTAATGAATAGCTACTTTTTATAAGCACCGCTCGATTTTTGAGAACCGATTTGGTTTGTCCAACGAAGTAAACACTTTATGCTGTGTGGCATTTTCTTTTTTTAAAAAAACACTGAGCTAAAATACAGGACATGTAATGTGTTTGGATCTGAACCAAATCTTTTGAGATCCCAATTACCCTGAAGAACACTGGAGACATTTATAGGGCATATTCAATACTAGTTACACACCTCATAATGGCTAAGGCAGTGGCCGTATTTCTCAAGAAAATAGCATTTCATTAAGAGGCTGCCCAGAGTTTGAACAACATCATCATTTCTACATCTTTTCTGATTTGGAGTAGTTTCCCCAAATGGGGCCATATTATTGGAACAAGAGTTTTATGCTAATACCAAACAGGCTCTGGTAATTTTGTAGATACACTTGTGTAGAGCAAGACTCCTTGCTCTGGACCCTGGGTGACCACATAGAAATCAAGAGGCCATGATTACTGGATGCTGAATAAAAGAAGCATACTTAAATGCACATCATCTGGAGGCAAGCAGAAACAAAGCTGGAATGTGGTAGTGGTGTTCACTCACCACTTGTTCCAGAAACATATTTTACTTAAATAAGGGAAGTTGGTCCAGTTTTGCAATGTTAATAGCTGCCAGTCTCTCATACATATTTTTTATAAAGATCACTTCCTGGCTAGCAAAGTTAGGAAACTGGCCTCAAATCTCTCACGGTTAGTCAAAAATGAAACAACAAAAACTTGAAACAAAAAACAAAACACCTGAAAAAATAAAACAAACAATGGCCAATAGGGGTTAAAAATTGCACAATTACATTTGAACGTAAATTATACTATATACAGATTGGTATACACGTGACTGATATAGTTTTTGAAAGCATGAAAACGCTCCTCCTGAAACATGTCCTCTACATTATCCCAATTTTCATTACAGGAAAACTGATATGCAATTTTCTTTAGTTACGAAAAAGGAAGCGAGAAGGCAAAGCTGAGAGAAATGGATGCTACCCAAAGGGCAGCGGGAGCATTTGGTTGTTTTGGTCTTTGTACCAGCAACTCCTACACCCACAGGAGGTATCCAGTTCCTGCTGGGCTACACGGTTTTCCTTGCAGTCAAGACTCTAACAATGGACCCCACTCCTCCAGCAGCAAGTGCCTAAAAACAAACCAAAATGTAAATGCTGACAGAATCATAAAGGGCCAATTCATTTTTCTTCAGGAAGGAACGTGTGCAACTATCGATCCTGAATTCACTAATTTTCATACATATTTCTTGAGCACCTATTATATATGACCCAGGCACTGTTCCTGGCACTGGGGATACAGTAATAAACAAAACCTTCAGAGTCCCTACCCTCATGTGCTTACAGATCTGTAGCACAACGTTCTTAGAAAAGGTGCTCAAATATAAATTCAGGACATCCATTCTGTGCTCTTATTCTCAGCACTGCCAAGAAGAAATTCAAACTGGGATCAACCATCCCAATTCCATTTACATTAGTCAGAGTTGGTCAAATTTTCTTTCCTCAAAGCTAAGAATGTTTTATTTAATAGTTAAGGACTTAGAAACTTTAACTCTGACGTCACCTTGAAGAATTGGAAGTCATGATTCAGTATTAGGAATTTGGAGCTTTGTGTTGGAAAAACCTGTGTAAGGGGTACCATGCTAAATCCTGGGGATACAAAGGGAACAAATACAGCATCTTCTGGTCTACAGGGAAGAGACAGACTTATACACAGATCACTCCAATATACCATAATGAAATGACAGAGCAATGCTCTGAGTGATATAAAAGCACAAAAGATGGACACATACCCAACCTGAAAGCATAGAGGAATGTGGAATGGTCAGGAAAGACTTCCTGGAGAAAATGACACATTAAATGGACAAGCAGGTGACAGACTGACATAAAAAGGTAAAGAGGCACTCAGGCAGAGAAATCCTGAGCAACAGTATAGAGTATACCGGGAAACATGGTGTATTCAGGGAAAACACATTATTATGCTCACTGCTGGAGTATAAGACCAACATGGAAGATGAAGCGGGACTTGGGAAATGGACTTCTGATAACAGCAGTTTTGGATTTTAGAGAGAACATTCGGGTGATGGGGTGGGGAACAAATTTGAGGGAGACACAACTGGTAGCCAGGAGACCAGTTTAGGAAGTTATAGCAACAGACTGGGAGAGATACTAATAACAGCTGCATTAGAGATGAAGCTCAGTGGATGATCTGGGAATTGTTCAGGAGGTAAGACTGGCAAAAATTGGTGAGTGATGTTAGGAAGAAATGAAGACAACATGTGCCTCAGTTTCCCTGGCACTGGGGATACAGTAATAAACAAAACCTTTAGGCAATAACAGCAAGTTTTCTACTAGTTTTATGAGGATTGAGTTAATATTTATAAAGTGCTTGGAATATAGTAAGTGCCCAATCAGTGTTTACTGTGATCCTGAGGCTATTCTGGAAGTCGGTCGCTTAGGTTTTAAAGCTGGCACTTCTTCTGTCAATTGAGGATGATTAAGATGTTTATATCCTTTGTAGGGTTGCTATAAGGATTAAATGAAACATAAACTATAGTAGAGCGACTGGTAAACAGAAAGTGTTCCATGAATAGAATAACCATGCAAATTATTCTCCAAATTGGTACACTCTAGAGCAAAAGGGAACTGCTCATAATTATGTTGGGACAACAGGCATAAACTGGGGCTGTTTTAGGAAACTGGGCAGTATGGTGACCCTATCCACAAATGTTAGCTCTTTTTATTTAAAAGCGTAAGAGGGATAAAGTGGCCTGACGAAGGCTAAACCGAATTTTACTACCTATTCTTTTCTGAGTCTGTATTTTCACTCAGATACACACACAATTGCTTCTGAAACACTGAATTTTGGGAATTATTAAGACGTCAGAGAACACACCCCTTACCTATGGTTGGGTCTATTTTAAGACTAGATTAAGTTTATACCAGAATAATACGAGAGTTGGATATTAAAGAATACTTTACCAAGTTTTTACCTAAAGCTAAGAATTTCCCTTAGCCATCTTTTTTTTGGATGGATAGTGTACTAGCATCTGCTTATGTTGCAAAATAAAATGCATGAAAACAGAAAAAAAATTTAATTCTGGAGCTCACCTCAATTTCTTGTTTTAAATTGTGGTTAAACATGTAACGTGAAATTTGCCATTTTAACCATCACTAAATGTACAGTTAAGTGGCATTAATTACATTCACAATATTGTACAGCCATCACCACTATCTATTTCCAATACATTTCCATCACCTCCAACAGAAACTCTGTACCCATTAAGCAATAACTCTTCTCTCTTCTCCCTCGCCCCTGAAACCTAATCTCTATCTTTATGCATTTGCCTATTGTAGGTATTTTATATAAGTGGAATCACACAGTATTTGTCATTGGTGGCTGGCTTATTTTACTTTGCATAGTGTTTTCAAGGCTCATTCATGCTGTAGCATGTATCAGAACTTCCTTTTTTTGGTTGAGTAATATTCCATTGTGTGTATGTACCACTTTTACCTGTTCACCAGTCAATAGGCATTTGGGTTGTTTACACCTTTTGGCCATCATCAAAGTTTTGATTTAGTTCAAAGTTCATGATTATGTTAAATGAACAATAATCATTACAGAATCAGTGTTATATGTGTTGTAAATCAGAATCTCTTTAGACCCAGGTGAGTGAGCATATATCTAAACTTTGACTTGCATGCATTTGATTTGTAGTAACAATGACGTATAACCAAGAAGTCAAACTAGTTATTTAGGTAAGAGAGGATGTCATTGTTATAAAGGAATCAGTCATACAGATTTATAATTCATAACTTACCTTTTCATGCCACTGCAATAACACAGCACTGCTATTGTCAGAGGGGCTCTCAAAGCCTTTATAAATATACTTCATGAGGAGATCCACACCATTCTTGTCCAGGGATTGAACTGCCTTTTCAATGTCATTAGCTTTAAAAGAGATGAGCACCTTCAAGACAATGCTGCCTGCTCGGTCCTAAGGGTAAATACATAACAGAACAGGTGTGTGGGGTTACAGTTTTAGGAAGGCCACACTGCGAGGGTGACATCTGAGTAAAGACCCAAAGGACCTCAAAGAGGAAACCTTGGGGGTAGCTGAGGTTATTCTGCAGAGGAATGAACAAGTGATGTCACTGTGAGTTCAAGGAACAGCAAAAAGACCCAAGGCGGCCGAAGCAGAGTGTACATTAGCAGGGCAGGACGTCGCAGAGGGAGCAGGAAGACAGGGCACGTGCGCCACGCAGGCCACGGTGAGAGCTCTGGCTGGCGCTCAGAGAAAGGGAAGATGTTGAAACATTCTGGGAACACTGAGAAAAATCTAACTTAGACTTTAACAGGATCACTTTGGCGGCCAATGATGAGAATAAACTGGGGGTTTGGGGGCAGGGGACAAGGGAGAAGCAGGTAGACCAGTTAGGAAGTTATTGCAATAATATGTAGGTTGGTTTTGGCTAGCTTGGTGGCGGTCAGCAGTGGACAGATTTTTTATTTGAAGGCAGAGCTGGAAGGATCTGCTTACAAATAGATGTGATAATTTACCAATTTAATAAATCAGTATTTAAATTTTACTTCTCGACCTTGAAAATACCCGAACAAGGAAAACTGAATTACAGTCCTACATTGAACCACCTGTCAGAAATACTAATGAATAAAAATTTACGTTTTTCAAGAAAACTTACTTTTATATCTATACTCAAGTGATTACAGATCTAAGATACTGTGATCTTCATTTGTAATCTTTTTTCTTTGATAAAAGGCTGCTCCAATAGCAGAGTTATTTTTTTACCCGTCAACACTTAATTTACCCTTCTGACAATTTGGTTCTCCTTCTGTTCAAGACAAAGTGACACCTTTGGCATTCCTACTGGTCAGGAACTTATGGAATATTTTTACCACCTGTTGTTATCTCTATTTTAAAGACCATGCAATTACCCAATTTAGAAAATAACCTTGTATCTAGAGCTATATAATCTTCCACCCACAAACTGTGATAAAAAACCACCTATGTAAAAAGAGAAGGTGGTAAAATTGAAATTTCAATGACGTTCCTCAGAACTTTTAAAAACCAAAGAAATTTTTCCTCTTGTAAAAAGTTATGTTGCCTAGAGAGTTATTATGCATTTACTTACGTTATTTCTACTACTCATTTACAGTGATTCTTGGGGCTCCTAGGATATCTGAATAGCTACGTTGCGACCAATGCTCTGGGCTTCATTTTAAACAGTAAGTAAATAGGCTCTTAAGAATTACTGAAAGACTGCTGCAGGGCACAGAAATCACAGAACCTTTCTGAAGGGCAAATGGCAGTATCACGTGTATTAAATGCCTTAAAAATGTGCTTTCTAATGATTCACTTCTAGGAATTTATTCAAAGGAAATAATATAAGAGTTTATCAGAAACTGTTCATTTTAGTGCTGTTTACATGACTACAAGGACAATAATCTAAATATATGACAAAAGCATTTTGGTATGTATAAACTGCAGTACATGTATATGCAGCCATTAGAAAAGATGTTTTTAGAAAAATAACCTTACTGCCAAGGACAGACATTCATGTAAACTGCTGAAAAAGTAGGCTATAAAATTCCATTTTTATTAAAAAAGTAAACCACTCACAGAAAAATCGTAAGCATATATAACACCAGAAATAATTATTCTCTCTGGGTGATGGGATTATGGATGATTAGCTTTTTATCCCCTAACATCTCTGAGTTCTCTGCAATAAATATTTAATACTTGTTTAATTTTAAAAGACCTTTAGCAAGTATAATCTGTTTATTTTGTATAAGTTTTACTTACTCTTCAAGCCTCTGCTCAAATTCAACCTAAGTGGCCTCCTCTAAAAACACAAAAATGATCTGTTATTTGAACTTAGTGTCTCCACACAGCACTATGACTGCTCAGTGTTAAAGTGCTACTTTTTATATGTAAATCTTTACCTAACTACACTGTAAGCTCTTCCATGTCAAAGAGAGTAAATAGTTAAAATACTTGTTGATTTGGTGAGACTACAGAAGATTTCGGTATGCATGTTAAGACAGCAGAGACTGGTGTTCTCTGTGACTCACCTTCACCGCCTGACTCTTGGTGTTGATAGGGGGGTTTTTCAGAGCTGCCTGTAGGGCAGCTGTCATGTTTCCTGTGATAGAGGTTAAGGAGATACCAGCAAAAGGCAGCCCTCAGGAAAAATGGTAACTGCCAGGAACCATTAGTTCTTAAGACATGACTTCATGCACAGAATGAAAAATTACTATGGTCCCTATGTTCAATATTGAAAAAATTCAACACGTTGGTTTCAAGCGTGTCAATCAAGGTAAAATACTGAAAACAGAACATAATAAAGCAAAGATGGTTTCATCGTTGGTCCTAATTATTAAATGAAGAACTTGATAACCTTTCATTTTCCCATAAGATACCTGCAAATATTATCCAGAGTGGTATTTTAAAAACTCTAAAATACAGTATTAGAATTCTCATACCCCAGGTGAAACAGCTTATCCTCAACCAAAATGTTTTTCCAACTGGAAAAATAAAGACCAAACTTTTACTTCAATTATATTCTACATTAATTGAAACACTGGTAGATTACTCTAGCCATCTGAATAATATAGTCATCTCTCAATACTGATGAAAAGAGGCATTTTAAAAGATATAATAATGACCCTTAGGTGGCAGCTTCATTTTTGTGTTTTGGGTTAGTTCCTCTCCTGTTTGAATGAAGGTTATTCAAATTGTCTTACGCCATATCTATTATCTGTAGTCCATTTGAAAGCACCAGTTAGTTAGCAAATAGAGACAAGGAAAGCCAATCAGACTGTCAGAATGTAGTCATTCCCCTAAAAGGAAAACCACACAGAATTTACTTGTTCCTCCATCTGCAGCGCCTGAGCAGGAAGGGCTTCTCTCTTCTGGTGGTAACAAGAGTAAGGAGACGATTATCTTACATTTTCAGATGAACTGATTAAATATCAGATCTATTATATGGATACAGAAGCACCATTTTAAGAGTCATCACACATTACCTAATATGTTAGTTTTACAAAACACTGATCCATCACAATGAATGCTTTTAGACAGAATAATGTTCACCACGGGTCATGAAGAAAAAAGGTTTGACAGAAGAAAACGTATGGTTGGTGCTAAGCTGTTATTTTTAGGCCTTAGTGGACTTCTAGAGAAGCTTGTCTTTTGTAGACTGGCTCATTTTTAAGATGCAAAAAGTTTACATATTTATGTAATGCAAAAGAGCAACAGCTCATTTTGAAAATGCAGAAATCAAAGAAACAGCTGTATGTTGATAAATGTTTGACGCTGTATTTTAGGTGCCTTTAAGACCAAATATAGTTGCTACCAAATATTTTCACTCATATACTTTCCCATTATAACTTAATAGGACGTTGACGAAGAACGAGTTTAAAGCACCTAATCTTATAAATACGCCCAAGATTATAAATGAGTGAATCTGTTATTGCAACATTTACATCGTTTAAAAAAAAAGATCTGATGCAAATGATGTTATGAATATTCAAATATGCAAAAATAAAACTCAGGAACTGACAACCACATTTAAATTAAAATGGAAACGATTTGTGGATTACAAAAATGATTCTGCTTTGTACAAGTGACTCATCTTCTATTTTATTCATTGGGGTTTATTTTAAATATTTCCAGGGATTCTCCTTATGAATTCCCCGTCTTCTTTCTAGTGTCCTTTGCTTAGCAGGTGAAAGGTTTCAAGCTTCCCTTTCTGGAGTTTCGGTTGTTTTGTACTCACTCCCCGATTAACAAATGCTGTGTGCAACCTCTATTTTGCCAAGCCCTTTTCTCGGGGGAAGCCCACGGGCTGAAAGGACAGAGGGCCTCAACTCTGCAAAGTGTGTCCGTCTCTCCCGGCAAGGAATAAACTATCTTAAAGCTACCAAACACAACCAAAACAAAATCACTAAAGAAAGTCGTCCAATCCTCCCAAGCACCTATTTCTGGAGTTAATGGGACCCTAGTATAGATACCGTTCTGGGGAGGAAACCTTAAACGCCCTGCACCAGATGCCTCCCCCAGCGCCGCGAGGGCGCGGTCGGCACAGCCAGTTCCTGGGAGGCAGAACTCCGGGCGCAACCTGAGGAATCGGGGGCGTGGAGGGCGCGCTAGGAAGGGCAAGTTCCCGAGGGCGCAACCCTGAGGCCTCAGGGAGACGGGGTCGGAAATCGGGGAGCCCCCTGCCCTCTCAGGAAGCGGCACCCCGCAGAGACGGGTTCGAGCCGAGGGCTGCTGGGGGCAGCTCCGCGCCGGCCCCGGGAGTAGCCCGTTCCGCCCGGTCAACCCAGAGGCGGCGGCGGCCAGAATCCAAGGATATTGCCGCAGGCAGGAGTCCACCTCGCCCTCATCGGGCCCGGCCTGCCCATCGCCCGTGTCCTCCTCGTCCACGAACTTGTTCTCGTCGTACTCATCCACGTCCACCTTCCGGAACCGGGCCGACGACACCGTGTTCTTCGACATCCCGGATCCGGACCGGCAGCGAAGGCCTCCTCTGGGTGCGCCTCTTCCTCAGTACAGCCCAGCCCGGCAGGAGCCCGCAGCCCGGGGCCCTCACTTCCCTCTTCCGCTCTGGGGCGTCGCCTGCAATCGGGGCTCGGGCTGTTCTGGGCGTGCGCGCTCGCCGCGCTCCTCCTTCCGCGAGCCAGCTCAGCTCCAGCCACCCACACCGCCCCGTCGCTTCCCTCGGGAGCGCGAACGAGCGAGAGCGCGCGCCGGACGCAGTGCGCATGCGCAAACTCTCCGCAGAGGGGCGGGGCGGAGCGAAGAAGGCGGGGGCGGGAGGAGGCGGGGCAGAAGGGAGGGCGGAAAGGGGTGCCGCGGCAGAGGTAAGACGCAATTGGTTGTCCGGGCGCCTCACGTGGTCCCCGGGGTTTCCATAGAAACGCTTCTCTGCGGTCCGGTCTACGGGGGTCTTAGGTTGGCGGCGATGGGCACTGGGGGCGGGTGGCCGTGCCTTTTGCTGCCGCCACCAGCGACCTGTCATCGAGGACCTGTATGAGGTCCGGCTGACCCGGACTTACCTGTGGGGTGCGATGGACTGGTCGCCGGACCAAGTGCCCTGCAGTCGGCAGGAGTATGGGGCGGAGTGATGCACGCGGGCGTCTAGCGTCTTTCTACTTGTCAGAGAATCACTTCGGACAGTGCGCCGGTGGCTTGCTTTCTCGAGCCCAGAACCCTTTCCAGGGTTGGAACTACCCCGCGTGGCCAGTGGGAGGTCCCCAAGGACGGAGTCGAAAGGTCATATCTATCAGTGCTGTGTGACAGCATAGCGACCGCAGCTGCAGAACCTGAACTAGGTATTAAATCCACTGGGAGGGGCGGGAGGTGTCTGGGCAGGGACTGGGGTCGGGTGGCAAAACTAGGGTGAACCTGTGGAATTTGGGGTAGGGTCAATCATTAACATCTTAAAATAAGTGTTGTTTGGAACAAGAATGCTGGAAAAGGTAAGGGCGAGTTCTGCTCTCTGGTGCTAAGGGCAAGCACAATGTGTGAGGATTAATAGAAACCAGACCTTAAAGATTTATATTTGTGATTTAAGATTTATATGATTATCCGAGGCCAGCTTTTTGCTATATCTGACATCTACATGTCTGAGAGCAAAGCTCTTATTGAGGAGGCAAAGGCATTAAGCCTAAGGAAATGGTAGCTGTGCTGTGTGTATAACACTGAGCTATACCTATTTGCAGAATAAAATTAACCTGGGCATTGACTGGATATTGCTTAGATGGCTGTATGGTTTCCTGACATCCTAGTAGGTCTAGTTTGATTCCACCTCTAGAATAAGGCCGTTTGTTGCCCTGTTAAGTACCCCAATCCTTGGTTTCTGGTACTATATTAAAAAGAGCTTTGGACTTAGAATCAGAAATCCTGGCTTGAGGCTTGACTCTTCCACTCATAATCTGTTTGATTGAGGCATGCCACTTAAAATTCTGAATCTGAGGCTCCTCATTGCTAAAGTGGGACCAATAATGTGTACTTCACAAGATTGTTCTGAGGATTAAATACAGGAAAGTGCTTGGAAGACCAAAATTCAATGTAAACGTAAAAAGCATGTTACCTGTACTGTCAATTTTGGCACTAGTTTATAAATTGCTTAAAGATACACAGTGTCTTATCTTGCCCCTGGAAGAGATGGAATGATTCTAGAGGGCAAAAACTATCTTATAATTCTTTTGAATGTTTCTTTACATCTGACATAAAGCTAAGCATGTGGAAGGTACTCAATGCATTCAGGTACTCGGTTATTCATTGATGAATTGATAAAATGTGGAAGCCAATACAGTGTGAGAGTTACACTGAGAAGAAGAAATCAGTAAGAAGAGGGAGGTCTCAAAAACAAACCTTTGTTGGACTTACATGTATACATATATGTGCACATATATATATATAGAGAGAGACAGACAAAGTTCCCTCATAAATGAAACGCATTCTTTTTTCTTGGGAGGAAGAAGCATTTATGGCATTTTTCTTTTCCTAATTGAATTACCCTTCTAGAAGATACATCATTTAGGTGATAGCAGTGGTAGTTATTTATTTTAAAAAGTCATATACTGAAGTATTAGGTCATTACTATGGTGAATGGCATTATATAACAGAATAAAGATTTGTTTCAACTTTTTTTCTCAGTTTCAATCTTTAGCTGACTTTAATAAGAGCTAAACAATATACATGTTTAGGTACTAATGATGATTGTACTTTTTGTTCTTCTAAATAAAGATTTTCTTTGAAGAGAAAATTGAGCATTAGAAACAAACACTATTGAGAACAGTGGAAACAAGGATTCAGAGCTAATACACCCTGCTTTTACATCTCTATTGTTTCACATTAGGTCTTATTTAGGAAATTTCTTTTTCTCCTGTTTTAGAACTGAAAAAAATCTCAGGGTAGAGATGAACTTAAGGGAATAGTGAGGGGAATTTAAAAAATTGAGTTGCTCAAGGGTATAATTGTTCTGATTGCTTAGAATTTTGCTCTGTATATTAAATGTGTTAAATATAATTCTCAGTGGCATAATGCATATTACATTTGAGATGTAATAATGTGAAAAATGTCCTTTCCAATGCTGCATTTTTTATTGTCTCACAAGGCTTAGCACCTAGTATATAGTAGGTACTCAACACGTTTCTATGCAATGAATTAATAATTAGATAAATTAATTTTGGAATCATATTTAGAGATGAGTATTTTTTAATGACACATTAACTACACCCCTACTCCCTTTAATTAATAGGTAAATCTTTATAAAACTTTAGGGAAATGTGTGTGTGTGTGAAACCTGTCCTCAATTATCTTTTGATTAGAAAACATACATTATTCCATTTTCTTGCAAACTACAAATTTTTTATGTTAATCATGGTATTTAATTTAGGTAATACTGTTCTCCCTATTTTAATTTTCATAATGAGTGCTTATCCCTGAAATAAGGGCTCCATAAGGTTTTAATACATTTTGTTTATTGTGCAAATAACCTGGTTTGGTTCAGTATTAAAGTTAGACTGAATCGAATTTTCTCAAGGTTAATGCTGCATAATAGTATGTAGCGCCTTCATATTTTCTGTGGTGATACAGAGAGTGAAGGATCTTTTAGTTAGAAAGGATTTTGATAAAACTACCTATAGTAGGTCTTCCTTTTCAGTCAAGTATTCTAGTTATTATATACATCTTTTCTCCAGACTTGCCACTAAATACTTAACAAACACATTGACTCCAGCAGTATGGCACTATTGTTTTTATTATTTGAAGTGGAAGTGAATTTAGTGTTAATCAAATATGCCAAGCATGTATTATAAATATAAAACAAATAAGAAAATTTCATTTATGGAAAATTCATGGTAATGATGCCTTAATAGCACTGTTCTCTAGTAAAGTAATTACTACAATATAAAAAGATTTTTTTAGCATTTACTCATAGACTATGTTACAGTTTAATGCTTGCACTTAATACCCAAATGATCTGGTTCTGTGTTGAAACCACCAGACTTCAAGACCTCAAGTTTTTTCTTGTGATTAATTTTACATAACTTTATGATTATACACTGAAGTAGATAGGGTGAACAGTTTTACAATGGGATCTTTATTTACTTATATGTTAGTACTTCAAAGATTAAAACATTTAATCTGTACTCTTGTCTCAGGAAAAACATTTAGTGCTTAATGAAAGAATAAACTTTGTGTGTTAAACACTATGGTGAATGGGACTCCTTTTCTATTTAATTTTTTTTACCTATAGTTTCATAGATAATAAGAAAACTGTGGGTTTTTTAATTTATTTATTCTGTATTCTTTCTCATTACTGTAACCTTTTTAATGCTAGCTGTTTTTTAAGGTTACTTTTTTTGTCACAGTATACATTCATAATATTTGAGATAATAATCTTCATCTTCTCTGCCAATATTTATATCACCTTTTATTTACTTACTGCACTATCTAGACTCTTTAAAACAGTGTTGAAAAATTGGGTGATAGGCTTCTCTTCTTTGTTTCTATTTTAATGGAAATCTCTTTGCTATTTTATCAGTTTATATTGCCTATTGCTTTTTGATTGTTAGGAGTAACTACTGAAATAATCAAATGCTTTTTGGGGGATCTAATGATAAAAAGCTTTTAATTTTTGTTTTCTTAATTTATGAATATAGTGAGTTATATGTATTTTTCTGTGCTGAACCATTCCCACATTTCTAGAGTAAACTCTGGTTACAGTTTTAATTAGTTGCTACATTTGATTAGTTTATATTTTGTTTACATGATTTCAGAATCTATATGTATAAGTAAGATTGGTCCATAGTTTTATTTCTTTGTGCTATCTCTGTCTGGTTTTGATATTATAGTTAGTCTAGCTTTGTAGGAAGAATTGAGAAAATTCTCTTCCTTTTTTCTGTGCTCTGGAATTGGTTTGAATAATAGAAAATACCATGCTATTTTTTCTTTGAAAATTATGGAATGTGCCTCCAGAATTATCTGGACATGCTCCCATTTATAGAAGCAGATCTTTAATCATTTTTATCTTCTGTGGTTATTGACTTATTTGGTTTTCTTTATCTTTTGAGTCAATTTTAGAATTTGCATTTTCCTAGTATATCATGCGTTTTATCTAGATTGACACTTTATGGGCAAGAAGTTGCACAAAACATTTTCTTACAATTATTTCAGTGTCTTTCATGACCATGGACATACTTTTTTCAATACTATTATTAGTTATTTAAATACAATATTAACATCAACATACTTTTCTCCCCATAAACTGATTGTCATGAATTCTAATAACATATCTTTACTTCTTATAGAAAATAGCCATCTCAGACTTACAGTTTTGATAAAATTTGAAAGGTCCTCTAATTCCCATCTTTTCTACTGTCTATCTTTATTTTGTTAATATTTTACTAATAATAGCAAGCACTTCATGAATGTTTATTGTGCATTAGACACTTGGTAGATAAGCTCTTTACTTATATTATTTTATTCTCAGAGTAGCTCTAGATTCCTTCCTACTTTATGAATGTAACTCAGCCCACATACTCACCTAGCAAGCAGCAGACTTATGGGAATTACACCTGTCAGATTTCAAATTTGTGCTTTTAATTAACACTCTCTACTTTCAATACATCTTTCTCATTATTCCTCAGTATACTACTTACCTTGTGCTAAAAATAAGGATAGAACTAAGTATCAGGCTCTAAATAACCCTCACAATAGCTTGTAATGAACTGTCAATTGTGAACTTAAAAAAATCTTGTTATTGTAATGATTTTTTTAAAAGATATTTGTTTTTCAGATATTCCTATGTGCTTTCCTCACCTTATCTCAGTATTTTCAGACTAGACATACAGCCTGTTACCTAATATTTAGTCTACCATAAAAGATGTCACTCTTTTTGGTATATAAGGAAATCTGTAGGTTTTGATTAATAATTCATTAATTTTTAAAAATTGTGGCAAAATACACATAACATGAAATTTACCACCTTAAAAATTTATAAATGTACAGGTAAGTAGTGTTAAGTATGTTCACATTGTTGTAAGCCATCAACTTCCCGACCTCTTTTTATCTTGCAAAACTGAGACTCTTCACCCCTTAAACAATAACTCGTCAGGCTTTGACAACCAACATTTTACTTTCTGTTTCTGTTAATTTCACATCTCTAGGTACTTTATGTAGTATTTGTCTTTTTTTCCCATATATATATATATTTCTTAAGGTATCATTGATATACGATATTAGTAAGGTTTTGCGTGAGCAAAATTGTGGTTTCAACATTCACCCACATTATCAAGTCCTCTCCCCACACCCCACTGCAGTCACTGTCCATTAGCAGAGTAAGATGCTGTGGAGTCACTACTTGTCTTCTCTGTGCTATTCTGCCTTCCCTGTGCCCCGCTATGTTATGTATGTTAATAATAGTGCCCCTTAATCCCCTTCTCCCTCACTCCCCACCCGCCTTTCCCACCCTCTTCCCTTTGGTAACTGCTAGTCCCTTCTTGGAGTGAGTCTGCTGCTGTTTTTTTCCTTTAGTTTTGCTTTGTTGTTAACAATATTTGTCTTTTTGTGACTGGCTTATTTCACTTAGTTTGAGGTCCTTAAGATTCATCCATGTGGTAGCATGAATGAGAATTTCCTTCCTTTTTCAATGGAGAATAATATTCCTGTGTGTGCATGTATACATACATATATATACAATATATACATATATATACACACCCACACACATATGAATAATTATGCTATGAATATGGGTGTACAAATATCTCTTTGAGACCCAATTTTCAATTCTTTTGGGTATTTAGCCAGAAGTGGGAATGCTGGATCATATGGTAATTCTCTTGTAAATTTTTTGAGGAACCAATTCCACTTGATTAACTGAATAGGGTAATAAAACAATATTCCATTGCCTTAGGTCTTTGATTTGGTACATCTCTGAGAGTCAGGGACATCAAGATAAGATAATATCAGGACTTATGTTTGGTAAAAAGTCCAAATAACAAGGAATGGGGGTGGAGAGGGTACTCAAACTCTGGGATCTAGAACTTAAGTTCTCCACCCTAGCACACCCTAGCACAGCCTCCCTAACTCCCACAGGGAGGATACTGATCGGTACAATGGTTTGAGTAGAATTACAGGAAAGGTGCAGGACCGGTAGTAAATGGATATTGATTTTGCCAGGCTTTGTAGTGAGTCCACATTGTTATTTGAGATGCATTAAAGCATAGCGATTAAGAACATGGATTGTGGAGCTCGACCTCTGGGTTTGACTCTCAGCTCAGCCTTTACACTTGAGCAGTTACTTAAGCTCTCTGTGTCACAGTTTCCTTATTTGTAAAATAGGTATTATAATAATACCTACCTCATAGGATTATTGGGAGGATTAAATGAGTTAATACACAGAAGTGCTTATAAAAGTGCCAGACATAGAGCTCTCATTAAATGCTAGGTGGTAATAATAATATTTTTTAATTAGTGTAGGTTACCATGCAGCTTTCCTTAAACCCTTGGAAATAAGATGAATAACATTCTGTTCTGTGAGTTAAACCTTTTGGATTACATACACTATGAATCAAAAAAGGTATGTGATGGCAGTTTAAAGAGGTAAGATTTGCTCCCAGGCCAGCTGGATTAAGTAACTTGATGAAACATTAATCTACAGAAACTCTATACTGGTCATCACAGGAATTGGTTATTGAGGCTTATCTTGTCTCTTACTGTCTTGGCCAAAACACTGTCCAGGGCACAGGTGACCTTGTGCTTGTCCCACCATTTCATTCCAAGTGGCAGGTGTCTTTCCCTGGCAAGCAGAGTGAATCATATAATGAACTCCTCTAGTCCCCAAAGCAACCTTGTGATGGCACCTTGGCTTCTCATCTGGCTCATCTACATGGAGAGACTGCTTAGGTTGGACAACTTGAATATCTGATTGCATATCCAGCTGTCAGTCTCACTGGAAATCAGTTATTTAGTTTTCTGCTTTTACATGTCGGTCTTGGGAACTTTGCTAATCCATATCTACCAGCAGTTAAAAAAAACATTTCTCTGTGTTGACTCAGTAGGTAGTTGAGCTTACAAAGTGGAGAGTCAAATCCTGGACCATCGTAGATTCACCAGGAAATCACTCCCTTCTCCCTCCCTCTTCATTTTCTTGGGATATCCCTGCCTTGCTTTTTTTTAGATTATCACACCACTAGCTGCTTTAATTTATTGGCTTATGTTTCCTTTATTGGGATTTCCATGTGTGTGGTAGTAGTCACCTGGCCAGTTAGCTGCAGAGAGCTGGAACATTCTAACTTCTCTCCTTCCCTAAATCCCTGGGTTAGCCCGGCATGACCAAGGACTTTTTGTGAGGTAAGCAAGAAGAGAAAACAGAGACTACTTGCCTCGAGCCATGTATCTTTATGGTCTCTTAATAGTTTCTCGTCAAAGGCTTGACTATATTGGCCTGGACTGGAGACTTGTCAGAAACATTCTTCTTCTTAACCCCAGTCTCACCCAACCAGTACAAAAACTAATGCCAAAAGTACATTTTTTTCCCACTGTGGTTCTGGCAACATTTCTCCCTTCGCTATATACCATTGATATCCAAGTTTACATTTGAAATATGAATTCATTATAGATTTCAGACTATGTTTCTAGCTGGATCCTTTGTGCTTGATAATTACGGTCTTCTTGACCACTTTGGAGACAGATTTCATGACAACTAATTGGATCTATTTTTTTTTTGTTTGAGGAATCCTCAAAGTGGGCAGGTCTCTCCTGTTGTGGGGTGTCATTAGCAAACCTGGTAAGAAGCGTCAGATTGGATCCTAAAGCCCCTGAGACTCGCCAGTGCCATTAGCCAACTTGTCCACCTGGATATACTTTTGTAATGATCAGAGATGCTGAATTGTCATATTGGGGTGTTTTAAACTCTACATTCCAAATTATAAACATATGATTTCATGGTCTAATAAACTTTAATAGTGTCTCTTTGAAGAGTAATTACTATATACCAAAAATACAATTTTACATGTCAATAATTTGATAAAAATTTTCAGGTTAACAATAGAAATTTCTTTAAAAGTTTTATTCATATTTCTTTTAATCACAATAGAAATTTATATTCTAACATTTTTCTTTTCTTTCTTTCCTCCTCTCCTTCTTCTTCTGCATGGCTAATTCTGTGCTTTAAGTTTTTTTCTTCTAATGGCAGAACTATCTTATCTTTGCATTCCTTTTTACATATATTTAGAAAAAAACAGTTGTAAGTTAGAAATGAATGTACATTTTTCTTGTAATGCATCTTCACATATTTCTGAGAGGGGAGTGAGGCAGCAAATGTAAATTAGTTAAACATAGCAAAGTGCTTTAATATACACACTTAGAGGGTTAGTCAAGTAGCACTTCCTAGAAGTGTGTTTTGAACAAGATTTTAAGAGGTATCAATATGCACTGGTAAAAAAAAGGGGGTCAGAAAGAAGGGAAGTAAAATAAACTGTGCATTGGGAGCTATATCAGAAGAAGGTGGAATGGATGCTAAGCAGGCACTTGGCTGAAATGCAGAAGGAATGTGTTGGGGAGTAGTGACTGGTGAAGTTACTGAGATGTAGATTCACAGCCTTGTTACTACATGTTGCCTGGATTCTGTGAAAGATGGATTGGAAGGGAAAACCAAGTGGAGAGAAGGATGGTGCTTGACTTATAGCAACTTACAATTTTGCTAGTGAGACAGGGCATCAGAAAGGTGGAGGAGGAGCCTTGAAACCCAAGTAGAGTGGCTTGGGTTTTCCATGGTGTGTGATGGAAGGAGCCTTTGGAGATTCTCATGTACCATTCTTCTCAGGAGGGAGAGGTCTGAGCTGGGAAAGACTGAACTCAGCAGTTGGCTAGGTTTCAAAAATCAATTTCTGTAGCTATGTCTAATCAATTAGCAAAGGGGCTTTTCGCTCACACAAAACTATTTTGAATCACTGTAGGAAAAAAATGCCGTGCCTAAAATCTGTCCACGGTTTACAATTAATGGAAAATCACTGGTTTGCTTTTGCAAACAAACAGGACTCAATGTCAGTAACTTCAGACTGTTTTCCAATTTTACAGTGCATTTTCATACTGAAACCAATTTAGGAAGCTATTTAGTCCATGGGCTTTTTAGTGGAAAGATGATGTGGGTAGACTTCAATAATGACATTTCCTTTTCCACACCAAAATATTAGCAAGGTTCTAATGGCTCCATTTTGATACTGTCACTTTTAAAGTAAAGGAGAGAGATTAAGTTGCTTATAGAAACACTTTGGATGATGTTAAAAATAGTGTATTTTTATGATGAGATGGTAAATAATTCAGATTTTGCATTTCATATATCAATTTATTTCCATCTTGGGTCACATCTAAGAAAGAAAGTCCCCAGATTTTTGTTGAGTAATAGGTCCTCTGGTAGTTATTTGATCTTGTGTTGCAGTAATGTAGATTTTATTTTTTCCCTTTCTTCTTCTTCTCAGCCACCTCTTTGCTATTTGCAAATTGTTCTGTGATCTCCTGTCTCTCCACTGGCATCTGAATGGAAGGCCTCCCAAGGTCCTTGGTTTCCTGGAATGATACTTGAGGCATATTTAAATGTCTTACGATGTTCCTGGGTTTATGTGGGGTTTGATCCACATGGATTGGTGGTAAGTCTGTGAAAGGCACCAGCACAGAAATGACAGGAACTCTGAGGTCTGGGGTCAGATTGAGTTGCGGTTGTCCATTTGTCACTTGAAAAGATTGTCCGGGAAAGGCATTGTTTAAAGGGTAGCTCTGTAAAATTCCCTTAACTTTCATGCTGTGATTCTCTTTTGTCTGGGGAAGAACATCAGTGAAATAAGGTTTCACTCCTGTTATGGCACTGATTTCATATGCATTGTGCCTGTCAGCCAGTGCTCTCCCAGTTAAAATGGGATGGAAACCAGTTGAACCCAAGACATCATTCACAAAGTTGTGGAGGAGAGAATGCCAAATCTCACCGCTTATTGGGCTCAAAGTGACCTGTGGCCATAAACTGGCCAGGCTCCGGAGAGCTTCGCGGTTCCATGCCGAGGCAGGAAATTCCGTCTCAGTATGATAGAGCTGAGAAAAGTAAATACTAAGGGTGACATCTGGATACATTGTCAGGAAATTGTACATTTTGCTGATGCAGCCGTGGTTAGCTTCATTACAAGGGGAGCTGCTGGAATACAGAATGATATGCCTGATGCGGTCATTATTGTGCACGGCCGAGTCAAGATAACCATTCATCTCGAATAGCATTGACTCTGGATGAGCATTATTCCCTGTGCAACTGGTAGCATGGCCCTTTTGCACCAGACTTCCAGAAGAAGTTTTTAGTTCATAAAATGTGAGGTGTTTTGTTTGAGGATACATTGGCCCATAAGGGAATCCAAAAATCGGATAAAATTCTGTGTAGGAAACTCTTGCTTCTTCACCTGTGCGAATGTGGTAAGGACAGTAGGAGCAATCTAGAGAGAAGCTTAGCCAGTAATAAGGCTTTACTATTGTTCCATGATTTGCTAGGTATTCTTCATATAAGGGCTCCATTGCTAGTTTTGTTGTCTTCTAGCTACAACCCTAAACAAAGAAATTATATATATAACCAGTTAGTTTTATATATAAAAACTGAAGTTAGTGCATTACTTTTAGAGCCATACTTTTCTTTAAAGGAGGTAGAACAATAACTATAGTAGCATCTTTGATTCTAAAAGATAGGGATAAGTATCCATAGATTAGAAGTCTTTCTTTATTGATACTCCCGGGTAGTGGGGAGGAGACTAAAGAGAAAGGCATAATACACCTTTACCTGTTTCATAGATTCTGCGGCAGTAAAGCAAATGGGTTATCAGTGCAAGTTCTAGAAACACATTGCCTTGTTTCAGATCTGGGCTCTGCCACTTACTGGCTTTGTGACTTTTGGCAAGTCATCTAACATCTGGGCTTCCTTGTGTGTACAGTGAGGAGAAGAGCAGTACCTACCTCATGAGATTACCTTGAGGGCTGAATGATGAAATAAGTATAAGATGCTTTGTCATGTGCCTGACACATATTAAGGACTCAATAAGTATTAGCTCTTACTGGTGAATGTACAAATCCAGGGTTATGTAGATGGTTCTTGCTTATGAAAGGACAGAGAATAAGCAGGGGTTTTGCATTTTCTCCCTAATGTTCTTCTTGTGTCTTTTTCTGCATATGTAGTATTTGTATGTATGGTGCGGAGGTTTGGAGTGTGCTTGCATGTAAAATCAGCTTTCTTCAAATTGCTGCCTGTAGGTTGGAGGTGGCTATTCTTTGGGGAATAGGATCATGGGGTCTCTTTTGCTTAATCGTAGAAGTGTCACATAAGTATTCTTTGGGTTGTGGGTACTCATTCATTGACATTTGAGAGTTTTATTTCCAGTGGGTACCTCTTGTTATAGCATTGTGAAAACTTTGCCATTCTGGAAAGCAAGTATTTCTAATAAATAGTTCCTCTCATATTAAACCCCAAAAGTTGAGAACTTTAATGATTTTTCCTTTAAAAAATATTCCATCAGTTATTATTGTTCCCAAGCAGCAATTTAAGCATTATAATACAGTTTTTAAAGCATTTAAAAATATCTTATTATACAAATATTACATATTTCTTATAGAATAAACAATATTTTTATGTAAATGAAAAAATAAATACTCAAACCGGTTTGTATCAGTTTACTTTTCCATCGATGTTATGCTCTCCAATCTTTCTGCTATATATGTATGGATAACATAAAATTGTGTTTTATACTTTGTTTTTTCACTTAATATTGCGTCATGAGCATTTTCCCATGTTGTGAAAGATTCTTCAAAAAACACAATATTCATGGCTAATTAGAACTTCATCATATAACTGACATTTGGGTTCTTGCCTCTTTCTATGATAAATAATACTGATGAACATTTCTGTAAATTAATTGTTCATATCTCTGATTATTTTCTTTAATGTTGACTGCCAGAAGTCAGATTATTATTAGATCAAACTTTGTCAGATTGCTTCCTAGCAATGTGTGCCAATTATATCACATTCTCTCCTGGTGTTATTTATCACCCCCTTTGCCAGTTTGAGAAGTGAGCATCAGTATCTTTTCATGATTTTAATTTGTACCTTTTTAATTCTGAGTAAGATTGAACGCTTTCTCCTATGTTATTGGTCTGTAATACTTATTCTTCTGTGAAACAAATGTGATCCCTTACCATTTTTTAGGATTTTCTTTATTGATTTGCAAGAACTTTTTATGTATCAAGAATTCTAGCTGTCATATTGGTTGCAAATATTTTACCTGATTTGCAGTCTTTGAATTACGGTGATTTTTAATTGCACCACACTTTACATTTTTATGTGGCTAATCTTTACCCTTATGACTTGTTTTTTTAAGATTGTATCTAGAAAGGACTTCCCCTTCAAAGAGGAGTTGATTATTTTCTGCATTTTCTTCTAGTATGTATGGTTTCATTCTTTACAGTTGACTCTTTGTCTAGGTAGCAAAACTGATAAAACACAAAATTTAGAAAGACATAAACTGACCATTCCAATAAAATGTTTTTCACTTCTCTAAATCTAATTTATAATTTCAGAAGTGTTTATTACAGCCTCTCATATGGAAGCACTTTGATCAACTTCTGTCTTTCTCAGCCCGGATCATCTCAGTCATTGTTGTATTTGATATAGCCTGATCTCTAGGCTGAAATCTACAGAGTCCCTTTGTTAATTCTGACCTGAGCAAAAAATATCTTAGGAGCTTCAATCCAGCTGTAGATGGAATGTGACTTTACTCCTGTCACCATTATCCTAACGCTAATATCTCCGCAGTAAGTCTGGACATCACATACTTGTTGAATTCCAGATTTCTCCTTCCCTTTGTCACATCAGCTGACTGCACAGGGCTGGGTGTTTGCCTCAGTTTCCTTCTTAGGGCTATATTTTCCTGATGCAACTGAATTCCTGCCCTGAGGCTTCCTAGACCTTGCCTAGCTTTTCCTTGGGGCCCTGGACTCTTTCCCTGCTTAATCCTTGGCAATAGACTCATCAACTGGAACCTGATACCAGCCCCTGTTTGACACTGAGCACTCTTTTCTCCCTGTATCTCCTCCTCTGTCAGGCTTACTAATCACACTGGATCCCCCTGAATATTAAAGCCTGCTGAAATCAAGCCAGAAGTCTTACTCCCTTTTGAATATTGTGCCCTGGGTGTGGTCTGCCCTTGGGTGGTGTATCTAGTGTCCAGGTTACTACTCAAATTACAAGTTCCAGTTCATGCATAGAAAATTTACAGATTGATTTGGCTAAAATGTTATAGAGGCAGCACCAAGAGGCTCTTTCCTGTCTTTATTTGGGGGTGGGGGATTAACTATATGCAATAGTCTCAGAATCCCTCCTTTGGGGAGTAGGAGTCTGTGCCTTTCACGGGGAAGGCAGTATGGCGCTCTGGGTTGCTTTTCTAAGCGTTCTTCCCTTTGTCCTCCTGTCCTATGGCTATTGTGGCCTTGGCTGGTGCATTGTTACCATCTCTAAGGACATCTCGAGGCCTAGTGGCCTTCCCATGTGACGGGGGGAGCTCTGAAGTGTCATTCTTGCTGATGGCTTTTCAGTGTCAACTGACTGATTTCCTATTGGCTAAGTCTTCACTGTTTTAGAGGGTTTTTCTGGGATTGTTCTTTATGATCACCCTCATCTGAAAGGGAAGCAAGAAATAACTCCTGCCCCTGTGAACTCTTAAAAGAATTGGTGGTTTATATAATCAGGTTACTATTGATCACAGGCCATTTTTTATTGTTAGCTTTTGGGATCTTTTCTTTCATCCTCCCCCAACCAGGTGGGGACATGCCCCATTTAGCCCAGGGTCTACTTGAGGGAACTTGACTGGCTCACAGGCCAGGTTGGCAAAGACTTTTTCCCCAGCATCCTGTGTCCCTACCACCAAGTCCTTTTCCTTCTGCTTTTCTGTTGTTGGGAAATGTGTGTTGCCTTCAGTAGAGCAGAGCTAGCGGCAGGAAGAAGTAGAGATCTGCAGAACCCAGCTGCTTGCATCCGTTTGTGAGTGGCCCCTGGACTGCAGCCATCAGAGGACAGACTTCTTTAGTTTAATGTAAATGAACCAAACAGGACAATCTGCTCTCTTTTCACCCAGCTAGGTTTTAGTGAGTCCTGGTAAAGCACAGTTTGCACTAGAGGAACTGGAGAAAGGGAGTTTGCCCTTCTCCATCTGTGCACGATCTGTTAACAGCTAAAACCAAATGTTAGCAGTTTTAATTACCTTCATTTTGTCTCCAGGCTTGTGTCACATTCCAGGTGTTCTAGGAGATGGTCCATTTCTCTTTTTTCCTCCCTCTAAGTCCCGTGCCCTATTTCAAGCAGCTTGACACGGCAGTTGGGCTGTAAAGATTCACCTTCTATATCGGCTCAGGAGTCTTTTACAGTTTGTGGCTCTTAGTTCCTTTGAACTTGGCTGTCCCAAGTTAGAAAGAACTTGCTGAGGTGTGGCTGCCTCTCAGAACACTGTTGAATTGGTGCCATGGCAACGTTTGCAAAGTAGCCACTGCTAGGATACGGCTCTGACATGTATTGCTTTATTTGCATTTCAAACCACCTGTTCCGAAGATGAAAATATACATGAATGCTACTCCAGTCTAGATAAAAGTATAACATCTGACTGTTTCAGTGACTGTGCTGGGGTTTTTTCTCCCTCTGGCTGTAAGAATTAAGCTCTGAGGTCAGGTTCCTCAGCGCCCCTTTCCTGATCTAGAATAGGGGCCAGGCTTGGTGTGTGGACAACATTTGTTGGTCCTGTTGCCTGTGGAGGTGCCAAGGCCTCTCCTTGGGAGGTTTGCCCTTCTGCCAGGAGGAGGTACCTGTGAGTGGGAGCAGAGACTTGCCTTGAGAGACACTTTTCACTTATAGGTCCACAGGCCCTGCAGGGGGAGCTCTTTATTTTGTTCAAACCTGGATTATTATGTGCTGGCAATTTTCCTCTTCCAAATTCCCTGGGAGGCTTTTGCTATTGCTGTGTATGTGGTTCCCTCCAGTTTAAGACAAGCTTTGACCCTTGACCAGTGGCGGCCCTTTCTCTGTGGCTGATGGAAGAGCCACTGGTCCTTCTACATTCTTTTCCCCTGCTGCCTGCAGCTCCACACCATCTCCTAGGACTCTAGCCATGTGGACAGTCATGCATTGTTGTGTTCACTTTTGTTTTCCCCTCTGTCCTCTTCCTCAGGCTATTTGAAGGAGTGGTGGTGATCACTATTGTGCATTCCCATCAGTCACCTCCATAAAGTTCTTATCTCCTACTCCACAAGTTAACCCATCAGGGAAAATGGAAACAGCTGGAGGCATCCTGCAGCCGTGTCCCCACTCTTAATTAGTTTCCTGTAGTCAAACCTCCAGTATCCACAACAGCAGCAGTTCTTTCTCCCCCGGGGAGCTCCTTCCAGCTTAGATATTTCATGTTGATCTCTGTGCCTTTGAAGGGTCCCACATGCACTCGTTAACTCCTCAGCTAGTTACTTTCAGTTACATTTTCCTTCATCCTGTCTTCGGTGCATGCGCCCTCTGTTGCATCCCATTCCTTCCCCACCATCTGCCCCTGATCATGCCTTTGCTGTTCCCACTTCTTGACCCATTTTCAGAGCATGTCCTAAATCAGTGAACTTGGAAGTATGAAACCAAAAGTTGATCCCCAAAGTTTACCTTTTATTGAAACTTAGTAAATGATACTCCATTTAAAAATATTACCTTAAACATGAGCCTCTATTCGCTAGTATATTTACCAATTGCATTTTAGGGTGATTTGATGGATAGGCAATCCCCAGTAGTCACTATTTTTTAAAACTTTATTGAGGTATAATTGACAATAAAAAAAATGTATATGTTTAGGATGTACAATTTGATCTTTTGATATACATTGTGAAATGATAATAGCAATCAAGCTTATTAGTGTATCAATCACCTCATATAGTTAGGTTGTTCTGGAGGGGTGTGAGTACACTTAAGATCTACCATCTTAGCAAATTTCAAGTGTGCAATATAGTATTGTTAGCTGTAATCACCATGCTGTACATTAGATCTCCATAACTTACTCATCTTGCATACCTGAAACTGTACCCTTCGACCAACATCACTCCATTGTCCTCTCTCCCAGCTGCTGACAATCACCATTCTAGTCCATGAGTGACTATTTTAGGTTCCACATATAAATGAGATCATGCAGTATTTGTCTTTTTGTGTCTGGTTTAACATAGCAAAATGTCCTACAGGTTCATCCATGTTGTTACAAATGGCAAGATTTCCTTTTTCAAGGATGAATAATATTCCATAGTGTGTACATATCACATCTTCTTTATCCATTCATCTGTTACTGGATATTTAGGTTGTTTCCATATCTCAACTCTCGTGAATAGCGCTGTAGTGAATACTGAGTGTACGTATCTCTCTGAGATTCCAAATCTTTTGGGATTGCTGGATAATATGGTAGTTCTATTCTTAATTTTTTGAGGAACTGCTATACTGTTTTCCACAATGATTGCACCAATTTACATTCCCACCAACAGTACACAAGCATTCCCTTTTCCACATCATCTCCAGCACTTCTTATCTTTTGGCTTTTTGATAATAGCCATCCTATGAGTGTGAGGTGAGATCTCATTGTGGTTTTGACTTGGATTTCCCTGATGATTAGTGGTGTTTGAGCATCTTTTCATATGCCTGTTGGCCATTTGTTTATCTTCTTTTGAGACCTCTTTACTCAGGTCTTTTGCCTTTTAAAAAATCAGATTATTTGGGGTTTTTGTTTCTTGCCATTGAGTTGTATGAGTTCCTTACATGTTTTGGATATTAACCCCTTACGAGAAATGATGTTTGCAAATCTTTTCTGCCCTTTTGTAGGTTGCCTTTTCACTTTGTTGATTAAATTTCTTTTGCTGGGCAGAAGCTTTTTAGTTGGATTTAACCCCCCTTGTCTGTTTTTGCTTTTGATGCCTGCACTTTTGGTGTCACATCCAAAAAGTCATCAACAAGACTAATGTCAGGAAGCTTTCACCCTCTGTTCCCTTCTAGCAGTCTTGCAGTTTCAGCTTTTACATTTATGTCTTTAATCTGTTTTGAGCTAACTTTTGTATGTGGTGTGAAAGTGGGGTCCAATTTCAATCTTTTGCATGGGCAACCATTGTAAAGCCACCATTTTTTACATCTGTTAGGTGTAGGAAAACTCCAAAGGATGGGTAACTTTGCGAAGCTCCATTTAGGTGGCATGAGTGACTTTTAAAACTGAATTTAGCCTCAAGGAAGTGAAAGTCTTTGACATTGGGTCTCTGCTCACTATTCTTACTGCTAAGGTGACATTTCAGGAAGGAAGGTGCTTTGAAGAAACATCTCACTTCCTAAGCAGACATTTTCTTCTGTCTTCCTTGATTAACTTTCCATGTTTCATCTTCATTAAGATGAGTTATAATGTATATTACCTAAAAAAATACCATGCAACTATAACGAAAAAGCTTTACAAAGGCCAAACTCTCCTACACTGATATATATTTTTAAAAGACCTTTGCTCAATTTAACACTCCAAAATTTCTTCTAATCTCTGTTCTGCCATCCTAATTTAGGATATATCCAAGATGGCTTGTGTGTTGCTAATTGCTGCATAGTAGGTGACATTTTCTTTGGGTGGCAAGAAGTAAAATAATTTACGTTTTACTGCTAAAAGTTTTTATTTTTATTTGAATGGTATTGTGCCCAATGAATTACATAATTCCCTGTTTTTGCAGCAGTTTGGCTGACACTGAATAATAAAGCTCACATTCATGTAGTAGTTGCAAATTACCTAAAAAAACAGAAACTGAAGAAAAAAAAAGAATGAATAAAAAAAAATAAAGAAGAGCAGAGAATTCAGTAGATTTCATGGAGCTTTACAGCAAGTTAGGAAAGATAGGATAAGTGTTAGGGTTAAGCCTAGAGGGAGACAAAAAAAAAAAAAAAAGCCGAGGATGGATTTCCCAGCTTGGGGTCATAAGCAGAATAGCCACAAGGTGGCAGCACAGCCTTAATAGTGGGTAACTTTCCGTTGGAACACCCGTAGTTTGCTAAAACCAGACTTCCAGAATTCGCTTTGGTTTTTCCCATTATATTAAGGAAATGAAATGCTAACAAATATTTGGAATCAAAGGTAGCTCCTCAAACTTAAGCTGAGGGAAAGTTCAGGGTGAAGGCACTATCTTTGCTCCCAGAGTCTGTATAGATGCTCAAGAAAGGTTTTAAACTATCCATGGGGAAGGACCAATTTAGTTTCTAAACCATAATACACTAGTAATTTTATAAAAGTAAATGAAAATTATTTTATAGAAAATGAACAAAAAGACATAGACAAGCCCATTTTAAAAATGATTAGTTCAATAGACATAAACAGATACATAGTTTAAATTACGTTTTAATAAATATAAACAGAACGATTGTCTATTTTTGCTTTTGTTGCTTGTGTTTTGATGTCATATCCCAGAAATTATTGCCAAGACCAATGTTATGAGTTTTTCCTTATATTTTCTTCTATGACTTTTATAGTTCAAGTCTTATGTTTAAGTCTTTATTCCATTTTGAGATTTTTGTGTGGGTATGGTCTAAGATAGGAGTCCAATTTCATTCTTTTACATGTGGGTGTCTAGTTTTCCTAACACTCCTGGGTGAAGAGATTATCCTTTCCCCATTGTATAGTTGGCACCCTTGTCAAAGGTCATTTGATCATATATGTGTGGGTTTTTTTCTTGGCCTTCTTGTCCATCCCATTGGTCTATATGTCTGTCTTTATGTAAATATAAACAGAACAAACAACAAAAAAAGTGAAAATACCAAAACAATACATGTCATTTATTGAAAGTGATTTACTGATAGATGATTAATACAGAGACTCATTATTATTATTATATTCTGCAATTATATTAAACAAACAATTTATGAAGATACAGGAAAACTATGTTCAATGTCATACATACACGTTTTTCAACATCCATTTAAAATATTTTTATTGTGAACAACTGACTTCTTGCTTGACAGTTCATCTGTTCTACATAGAATTGATGATAATACTGTTTGTAGGTTATAATGTATATCCAAACTGTTTCTATGTTTGTTTTAATAGCATCATAATAAGAAAAGCCAGTTTTAACAGTATGTTAATAAGAATAGAGGAAAAGATTTTAAAGCAATTTCACAAGCTCAAGATATTATTTTTTAATATTTTTTAAAAATGGAGCAAGTGATATTTTATTTTCAAAATTCATCAGGGTTTCTTCAGTGGCTAGTTCCAATATTTATCCTATAAATATATTAATATATTATATTTTATATTATATAATTAAATATAAATATATTATATTATTATAATATAAATATTAAATTATATATATTACAATAATATAAATATTAAAATAATAAAATATAAATATAAAAATAAAATATATTAAATTTAAATTACCTATTAATGAAAGGAATGGTTTATGGTTCCATGATTTTTGGTCTTCTCTTGATGGAGAATGAAATTTAAACATTGTATTAATTCTGTCAGGTATTTGGTAATCACTTTTTGCAGATCTGCAATATCAAAATTACTTGTTGCATTGAGAATAGTTGTTAAATTATGAAATATGACATAACAATCTGTG